CTAATTTAATGATTTGGTGAAAATTTTTGAAAAAAATTTATAATTTCTGATGATTTTTTTAGAAACGTGACTGTAGTTCCAGCAGAAATAATTTTTATAAATCGTTTATTCGCACAAGTGTTAATAAAATTATCTTTTTTAATTTGATTTTTTAATTATTGATTCAGTAAATTTAGTCAAAAATGATGACACTAGTTTTTTTTTGTATTTTTGCAAGTTTTTTTTGGCCCACGCAAAAACTCAAATACTAATTTTTTTCAAAAACAAGTTGAAAAATCGAGAGATAGTGGCTAAAAGTACATTATTTGCATTCAAATTTTTGCTAAAAGTGACTGAAAAATTACGAACTTAGATTCAAATTTTAACGTGTCTCACTCATTTATTTTATTTATTTTGCAGGATATTGTTAATAAATCAAGAAAAAAAACATGTTTAAACACAACAAAATTATATCTAAATTGACGTTATTTCGTTTCTTTTATTCGATTTAGCTCTTTTTGAGTGAAATTTTGTCAAAAAAATAAGACAAAAAATACAAAATATGGTCGAAAATGGTGTTAATTGCAAGATTTTGCTAAAATAAACCAAAAAAAAAACATTAAATTACGTCAATATTTAGCCTTTATCAAGTGTTTTAGCATGTTTTTCTAGTAAAAACGTAAATATCGGGTAAATGATTTAGTGTCAAAAAAATTTAATTTGTCAACCTTGACTTTCAAATTCAAACGTCAAACTTTTATAAGCAATTGTCATTCATTTGCGACGGACGACTGCTGATTTAGGCGTCACCTGAAACATATTCTGATATAACAAATTTAGGAGAATTACCACTAATTCAGTGTTGCCAATAGATTTTTTGTCACCTGGTATTTCGCAAAAATTAATTAAAATCTCTCCAAAAAATTATAGAATTAGACTAAATAAAATAGCGTTACCCATTTTGATCAGATTTGCGAGATTTATGTAAAAAACGTGAATCTCAAAATTTTGAAATATGTAGAATTTGAAAAATAATACATTTCATCTAAAACACAATTAATTTAATAAATATAACTCACTCACAAAAATCACAAAAATGTGTAAATAATTGTTATTTTTTACCTCAAATGTGTCAAATTTAAAATTTTAGTTTGGCAACGCGTTGACTTTCAAATCCAAACGTCAACAAATTTAGAAGGAATTTTTGTCACAAACAGTAATAGTTACCCGGTATTTCGCAAAATTTAATTAAAAACTAGCCAAAAAAGTATAGAATTAAACTAAATAAAACAGCGTTATCTCTTTTTGCATTTTTTTACCATTTAAGCCCATTTTTAAACAGATTTTCGATATTTACGTAACAAAACGTAAATTTTCGGCAATAATAAAAAAATCTAACTCATATAATCTCGTAATCTGGTGAAAATCATAGTGCAAACAGGTGTAAATATTGAAACTTTTCATCTCAGATGTGGTGAATTTAATTGTTTTAAGGTGGCAACATTGCCCCTATTCATAATGACTTCAAACTTTCATGATTTTTACAATTGATAATTTCAATTTCCATTATTGTGTCTCAAAAATACTAAAACTAAAACACCAACTTTTATTTTGAACCGACAGGGACTCAAAATTTGTATAGAAATTTCCGTTTTAATTACAAATATTCTCGGGGCGGTGCAACGTATCACTTTGCTAACTCGTTAAATTGCCCATAACTTTATTGTCATTAATGTCTATAACGATATTATTAAAAATAAATAGAACATCACGAATCAGAAAGGTACCAGTCATTGAATCGATCTAAACTACACAAGGCATACAAAAATTGACTATATTCTAGCAGGTATAAATGAAAATGGCCGCACAACTATGGCGGACAGTGCCTCAAATACTCCGAATCAAAGTAAACAACAGTAATAGTGATATCATCCCTAAAAACCCTAACTACATCATCGGGCAAACTCAACATTTCCGACAACTCCCCATGATCAATCCCATACTCCGTCCCACCTAAAGCATTCCGTATAAGATGAGTCGCAGCATTCGAATCCTTCGGTTTAGTCTTCAAACCTTCTTTTCTCTGCAACAACAACTCATTGATTTCACTCAACGTCATATTTTTCCGTGGTAATTTCAAAGAACTCAAAGTCGGTTTGCCTTTCATGTGTTCTCCAACAAGACGAACGACTTCAAGGGGCGACACAATATCCCAAAGCCCGTCTGAGGCAATGACTAGAAACTTATCACGTGGGGTTAAACGGTGGTGTGTCACTTCAGGGGTGGCGATGAGATAGGGTGGTGTGTGATAATTTGGAGGGATTGCAGTTTCACCGAAATGTTTCACCACGACTTCATACATGATTTCTTTACTCCATTTGTAACAAAAATCACCGATTGCACGAAATGGGGCGAGCTGACTTAATAATCGACCCACTCTTATCACTGTGTTGCTTTCGTTGTAAGGGTGCGCTTTGATAATACGCTCCACTTCGGATTTGTTGTAATAGTTGTGCTCTTGGGTCAGCTTTTTGGCTATCCATGAGTTTGTCTCAGATAGAGTACCTGAAAAAAATATGTTTTATTTATTTCAAAAATAAATAAATAAATTTCAATTAATTATTTGAACGCGTCCTTGTATCACGTGACTATATCTCTATCCTTGTTAGCAACGACTATTCCTAACTTTACTGTCTTTGTCTAATACACAATGGTGGTTAAAGTTACGAGAAACAGTGGCGTAACCTTAAACAAATTTGACATTTTAATTTTAAAAGTATTTACAGAAGCATTCTTAATTGCAATCAAATTTTAATTCGTGATTAATTTGATAAAAGACACTTTACTAAATAAAAATCCGATAGGATTTGACCACACTTATTCTTTCTCTAATACACAATGGTGGTTCAAGTTACGAGAAACACTGGCGTAACCTTAAACACGTCTTTGTCTTAAACAAATTTGACATTTTAATTTTAAAAAAGTATTTTGCAAATCAAAACATTTTTTTATTACTAAACAATTATTTCGCAAAATTTTGTTTTTGTTTCTTTTGTTTTTTTGCCGAAATTTTGAGGTTTTTTTGCATTATTATTTTGTTCAAAAATCTTTTGGTTTATACGAGTTTTGGTGAAAATTTTTGTAAATCAAAAGAAACTAAGGTTTTTTTTAACTTAATTTTGTCATTTTCGATTTTGTTTTTGTAAAATTTTGAAATTTCTCCTAACCTGACCTGGAAATAAATTTCAATTAATTATTTGAACATCACGTGACTATATCTCTATCCTTGTTAGCAACGACAATTCCTAAGTCTACTGTCTTTCTCTAATACACATGGTGGTTCAAGTTACGAGAAATAGTGGCGTAACCTTAAACACGTCTTTGTCTTAAACAAATTTGACATTTTAATTTTAAAAAAGTATTTTGCAAATGAGGTTTTTTGTAAATGAAAAAATTTTGTTATTACTAAACAATTTCGCAAAATTTCGTTTTTTTGCCGAAATTTTGTGGTTTTTTTGCATTATTATTTTGTTCAAAAATCTTTTGGTTTATACGAGTTTTGGTAAAAATTTTTGTAAATCAAGAGAAACTAAGGTTTTTTTAACTTAATTTTGTCATTTTCGATTTTGTTTTTGTAAAATTTTGAAATTTCTCGTAACCTGACCTGAAAATAAATTTCAATTATTTGAACATCACGTGACTGTATCTCTATCCTTGTTAGTAACGACTATTCCTAAGTTTACTGTCTTTCTCTAATACACAATGGTGGTTCAAGTTACGAGAAACAGTGGTGTAACCTTAGACACAAATTTGACATTTTCATTTTAGGAAAAAATATTTACAGCAGCATTCTTAATTGCAATCAAATTTTAATTCGTGATTAATTTTTTTAAAAGACACTTTACTAAATAAAAATTAAACTTTTAATCAAATCCGATAGGATTTGACCACATTTATTCTTTCTCTAATACACAATGGTGGTTCAAGTTACGAGAAACACTGGCGTAACCTTAAACACGTTTTTGTTTTAAATTTTTGAAAAAGTATTTACAGAAGCATTCTTATAATTCGAGATTAATTTGATGTTTAAAAAAATTAAGTGACAACTTAATTCGGATTTGTTTAGTCTAGACGCGCTATCAAGTAGCCAATCAGATGCTAGCATTTTGACGTCATATCTGACGAATCGGAGGGTTATTTAATCATAAAGTACAGTGAGATCAAAAAGTCTGTTTATCAAGCAAGCGTAGAAATTTAAAACGTATGTCTGGAGAATATAAAATGTCACAATGACAAACGAGAAACGTCAAAATAATTTTTATGTAAATTATAACAGGAAACTGTGGTGAACGATTTTTATGAATAAACACCAACAAAATCTCATTTTAGGATATTTTGAAACGTTTCATAGAATAATTCAATTTAATTAGCTCAGTGTTTTATTTTTTTTAATAATTTTTTGACATCTAGATAACATACGAACTGCGTCCTCAACTAGGACGCCTACTTGATAGAAAGACTTTTTGATCGCACTGTATAATGTGGAATTGTGTAATATTCGAATTACTTTGTGATGTGGAAATGGTTATTGTGGCGTTTTTTGAGGAAATTATTACAATAACGAGTCACTTGTCCGGATAAATTATTACTTATTATTTGAAATGGGGGCTGTACACGGTGCGTGTGTTATGTGTTTTCGAGTGCTTAATAAACATTTAGTAGTGCGCGATTTTTCAAATTTCGAGTGATTAGTGAGTGCCAATGGGGAAAATGGAGAAGACAATCGTGCCACAAGGGTCCGGATTAAAGGGTAAGTCAACAATAACTTTTAATTTTTTAGAAAATTACGATTTAATATTTTCAACTAATTTAATGACACATTGAACTGATTTCGCGTTTCTTTATTTTCAGTAGGTTCGTGTAAGAAGCAGAGGCGAATTGACGAAAATGCCAAAAAGGTGAGTGCATTTTAATTTGTTATTTTTTTGTTTATTGCAAAGTGAAGTGAGTAAATTAGTGATTTTTGAGAGCAAGTATTATTAAAAAATAATTGTGCTTTAGATTAAATGTATCTATTATTTCTCAAATTCTATTTCAAAATTTGTGGAAGACGAGTTCAAATTTACTTTAATAATAATTTTAGTAAAAAAAGATGCAATTTATGTTTGCCACCCTCTAACTTAAAAACTGGGGTACACATATTTATTCGAGAAAATAAATTTTAGAGTAGATTGAGGTTAGGATTTTTCGAATTTCGCATGGCTGCCACCTTAAAATGACTACTTCGATGCGCATTAAACGATTATTATATTTTCATATTTTTTTTCAATGTTGCCAACTGAAATTATTTACCCAAAACAGCGCAGCAGTCCCCCACATTGGCGATATGCAAATGCGCCCCATCGATATGCGCCACACAAGCCACAGCTCCTGACATCGCCACCGAAAGTGTTTTCATATTTACTTTTCCATTTTTTGGTAAAGCTTCTTTTGATAGATCTTCATCTAGTCTTAAAAAAGCTTTTTCGAGTGCTTTACTCATTTCAAATCCTTGCTTATGTCCTACCTAAAACTAAAAATAAGAAAAACATCTACAATACAACTGAATAAACCTCTGCTAATTCTTTGAGAAATTCCATAAAACTCTTATTGTACAACTCTCTAACATCATCAACTAATTGAACTTTATCGTTGTACGACTCGATTAATCTCATGGGATTTGATGAAGATAAAGAAGCTACGTATTCAGTTAAGTGATCGTGAGGTACTAAACAAGCTGTAATGTAGTGGTAAAGTCTTTTTGCTATTACTTGGGCACAAGCACCGCCACCATGACCATCAAAGACACCCACTAAGAGACCTACAACAATAAAATTATAATATACTAGTCTAAAAAATTAAAGGAACAAAAAATTTTCCTAAATTGAAAGGCTGGAAATATCTAGATTAAAAAAAAACATTTTGAAGTGTTAAGTTTCTAGTTTTGAGATCTTTTGGCAAATATTTTTTCTGTGCTACGGTTATCACGCAATTCTAAGTAATAGCGCAAGAAAAAAAACATTTTTTTTATGTTTTTGTTTTTGGTCCACGGACGTGGGGATTTTTTTTTTAGTTAAGTCAATTTATAGGCTGGATAGCATGTTTGTTTACCTTTAATATGCTTATATATAATATAATAATATATAATAATTATATATTATATAATAAATGTCTTATAAGACCCTTTTATGATTTTTTGGAAAATATTTTTTTTGCGTTTAAATTAAAGAAAAAATTGCACATATTGTTTCTGAACATTATCTAATCTTCATCAAAATGGAAAAAACAAATTTTTTCGACTTGTTTAAAATTTTGCATTAGTTATTTGCTAAAAATAAAAAAAAATTAAACAAAAGTTTTTTTGATTTTTTTTTGAAAGTTTGTAAAAACATTAAAGAAACAATACTACGTAATTTTTGCAAAAAATTCAAAAAAAATTTTTTTGAATTTTTTCTCGATTTTTTTTTAAATTTAACTAATGCAAAATTGTAAAAAAAGCTAAAAGAATGTTTTTCTCATCTTGGCGAAGATCAGGCGATGTTCAGAAATAATATTCCTTTAATTCTTTTGCAAAACTTTGATCAATCGGTCCGAAAAAACGGTTTGATGGATCAATTTAAAAATTTACAGGGATATGGGGGATACTTTAAGCTGTAAAGTATTAGTGAATACGCGGTGGATTTACTAAAACAACGCAAAAACTTACTTTTTTCTCTTTTCTTTAAATCAATGTTAAAGATGAAAAAAAAATATTTTCCAAAAAATCATAAAAGGATAATAAAATAACACTATTTAGATCCAGTTTTGCGATTTTCTGTTTTCTTTCGCCAAAAAAGTGTTTTTGAAAATCATCCAAAACCCAGAAAAGTAGACGTAAATGACATATTTTGTGACAATTTTTTTTTTTAAATTATTTTTGACAAATTTTTTGAATTTAATGAATTTAATCGCTGTTTCTCGATTAAAAGTCTTGTGTTTTTGATCAAATTTAGCGCATTTTTGGCTAAATCTTTTGATTTTCTGCAGTATTTTGGACAAATATTTTCCATTTTGTTAGTTTTTCGGTAAAAAGACTCGAAAACTGGAAAAAAACGGCCGAAAATAAAGCATTTTAGGCCTTATTTTTTCAATTTTCTGAATTTTTTGACCAAATCGTTCAAATTTTGTTAACTTCTATCAAAATCTAGAGAAAAGTTGACAATGTATTTCTCTGCAATATTTTAATTTTTTTTTTGATTTTACTGTACTTCTTGTTAAAGCACTAAAAGAAGCAAAAATAACACTTTTTATAGAAACAATTTTGCGATTTTCTGTTTTCTTTCGAAAAAAAAGTTTTTTTGGAAGTCATCCAAAACCCAGAGAAGTAGACGTAAATAATATATTTTGTGACTACTTTTTTCATTTTTTTGCATTATTTTTGAATGTAATTAGATTTTCGGTAAAAAACGCTCACAATTTTTAGTCATTTTCTGTTTGAACGAAATCACTGTTTCTCAATTTTAAAAAATGCCCAACATCTCGAGGAATCGACAAAAATCTTGATCAAATTTTGCGATTTTTTGCCTATTTTGAATAAATCTTTTGATTTTCTGCACTATTTTGGACAAATATTTTACATTTTGTTAGTTTTTCTGTGAAAAAGGCTCTAAAACTGGAAAAAAATGGCCGAAAATAAGGCATTTTAGGCCTGATTTTTTCAATTTTTTGCATTTTTTGACCAAATCGTTGTTAACTTCCATCAAAATCTAGAGAAACAATTGACAATTTTGTGTTTTTCTGCAATATTTTAGCCAATTTTTTTGCTTTTACTGTACTTCTTGTTAAAGCACTTTAATTGAATCAAAACAAGTAAAAAAATTAAGTTTTTTAGATCCAGGTTTGGGATTTTCAGTCTTTTTTCGCCAAAATTATCTAAAATGAAAGTAACAAGCGAAAAAACACCACTTTTTTGCGATTTTCTGTTTTCTTTCGCCGAAATCATTCAAATGTAAATTAATAATTACTTATAATAAGATTTTTTGTGAAAACCATGACCAAATTTTCTTATTATTTTTGCCAAATTTTTTGATAGTTTTTCTGCAATATTTTAGCCACTTTTTATTGATTTTACTGTACTTCTTGTTAAAGCACTTCAATTGGATCAAAATAAGTGCAAAAAATAGATCCAGGTTTGGGTTTTTTGCATTATTTTTGACAAATTGTGTGGATTTAATGAGATCTTCGGTGATCTTCATTTAAAGTCAGATATCTCAGCGAAAAATTGACGTAAAGAGAATATGAAAAAAACATATTAAAGGTAAACAAACATGCTATCCGACCTATGCATTATCTTAACCAAAAAAAAATTCTCCACGTCCGTAGACCAAAAACAAAAACATAAAAATTATTTTTTTCTCTCGTGATATTACTTAAATTTGCGTTATAACCGTAGCACAAAAAAATATTTGCCAAAAGATCTCAAAACTAGAAACTAAAAGCTTCAAAATGGTTTTTCAAAAATCTAAACCATTTTTCGATGAGTTACAGCCTTTCAAAAATCACCAAAAAATTATTGTGTTATTACCGCTAGTAATTAAACAAGAAGCTTCGGCTCTGGTATCTTCAATCGGGTTATTTGAAGCTAATTGGTTTGAATCGTACGATTTGACAGATCCATTTGAAAATTCATGAGTGTATTCATTGGCACGTAGAATATTATCCACCTGAAAAAATTAATGTTCACTAAATTCAAAAAAAAAACACTTCAAGTTTCAAATTTATTAATTACAACGCAGTACAATTATTACACGGAAGTAACAAATCAAGAATTGTGTTTAATATAACCCTCACTGGTGTTAAGACTAAAAATCCGATTGTGGGATAAATACTTTCTAGCACTGTTTTTAGTATAGTTTTTACAAGGGCATTAATGGGGCTTGTAATAAAAGACAAGAGTCCTCTAATTGTGTCAAATACTACGTTCAATGGTTCAACTTCTGTACTATTTTCCAATGAACGCTTTTTCCTATCGAAATTGACTAAATTTTTAACCGGTATTGCATTTTCCTCAGCCCAAATTTCCAAATCGTCATTTTTAAGCCCTTGATCAATGGCCTCCCTTAAAACAGATGCTAATGCAGGACTTTTGGACCATTTCGAAGTTAGTCCTTCAGTCGATTTCGCGAGTAATTTTTTTAAAACTTGGGTCTTGATTTTAACTAAATCACCGTCTTTGTGTAGGAGATTTTCCTTCAATTCTGAATTGATTCCATCGATTATGGCTTGATCGTTGCCTTTGGCTTCGACAAGTTTGGTTAAAATTTGACTTTGGGATGTGTCATGAACTGACAATAATTCATTTATAATTTTGCTCTTGATTTCGGTATCGAGTGATAAGCCGTTTTGGGTGATCTAGAATTTGGGTCAGTTTTGAGTTGAAAATGAAAATTAATACTTACGACTAATAAACAAAAAATTATAATCGAGAGACCCATTTTGATAGTAACTATATTAAAATTACATGGACTGTTTCTTATATCTTGAGGATTTAGCCATAAAAGGCTTTATTTATTTACAAGTGAAGATCTGGGCAAATATTTTTTCGCCGAAAAAATACAACAATGGAATCACAAAGGCTTTTAGTGTGTAGTAAAAGTTTCTTTGAAATGATTACGTCTGTTTTTAGATAATAATAATAAATTTTTGGACACTAATGAGAAAATTTCGTTTATCCAAAATTAAAGCAAATATAATAAACGGAAAAATACTATGCGTTTGTTTATACCTAAAAACACTACTTTCGTCAATTTCTTAAGTAATTAATGTTAATTATTATTACTTAGAAATAAAAAAGGCTTCCTCAATCAACGTTATGTATTTTTACAATTTTTGATGGAATGAATCTTTTCAGCTCAAACACAAATTCTAAAATCTTCAAATTCTTATGAAATAATTTGTGTATTTGTGTGTAAAATAGCACTCCATTTTCTGAAAGAAAATCAAGGGGTTTTTTGTAAATGAAAAAAAAAAAGGTTAATTATGTACTAAACAATTATTTCGTTTTTTTTCTGTTGTTTTTTGTCGAAATTTTGAGGTTTTTTTAACTTAATTTTGTCATTTTCGATTTTGTTTTTGTAAAATTTTGAAATTTCTCGTAACCTGACCTCAGAATCTCTCAAATTTAAACTGTTTTTGTGAAGCTAAAGAAACAAGAGAAAATAACATGTTTTTGGTTTAATTTTAAGATTTTTTGCATTATGTTAACCAAAACCTTTAATTTTAATGAGTTTTTCAAAGAAAATCGGTCTAAGTTTATAGAAGCAAGCGATAATAACGCCTATTGAATTTAGTGTGTTTTTATCGGCAAAAATAAGGCATTTTGTGCTTGATTTTTTCAATTTTCTGCATTATTTTGACCAAATTTTTCAAATTTTGTTACTTGAAGTTGAAAATTATGAACTTGTTTGCAATATTTTGGCCAAATCTTTTGCATTACATGTTGAAAAGTAAGAAAAGAGAAGTAGATGTAAATGGTATATTTTGTGACTATTTTTTTAATTTTTTGAATTATTTTTGACAAATTTTTTAAATTTAATGAGATTTTCGGTGGAAATCACTCTAAATTTAGAGAAACAAATGAAAATGACGCATAGTGGACCTGATTTCTAGTCATTTTCTGTGTTGTTTTAGCGAAATCGCTGTTTCTCGATTTTTAAAAATCTTATGTTTTTGATCAAATTTAACGCTTTTTTGGCTAAATATTTTGATTTTCTGCACTATTTTAGACAAATGTTTTACATTTTGTTAGTTTTTCGGTAAAATGACTCGAAAACTGGAAAAAACGGCCGAAAATAAAGCATTTTAGGCCTTATTTTTTCAATTTTCTGCATTTTTTTTAACCAAATCGTTCAAATTTTGTTAACTTCTATCAAAATCTAGAAAAACAGTTGACAATGTTGTGTTTTTCTACAATATTTTAGAATTTTTTTTTGATTTTACTGTACTTCTTGTTAAAGAACTTTAAATGAATCAAAACAAGCAAAAAATAACACTTTTTAGATACAATTTTGCGATTTTCTGTTTTCTTTCGCCAAAAAAGTTTTTTTTTAAAGTCATCCAAAACCCAGAAAAGTAGACAATATATTTTGTGACTACTTTTTTATTTTTTTGCATTGTTTTTGACAAATTTTGTGAATTCAATGAGATCTTCGGTGAAAAACGCTCTAAATTTAGCGAAACAGATGAAAATGACGCATAATGGACCTAATTTTTAGTCATATTCTGTCTTTTTTAACCAAATCTCTGTTTCTCAATTTAAAAAAATGCCTAACATCGCAAAAATCTTATGTTTTGATCAAATTATGCAATTTTTTCTTTTGATTTTCTGCACTATTTTCGACAAATATTTTTCCATTTTGTTAGTTTTTCGGTAAAAAAGGCTCGAAAACTGGAAAAAACAGCCGAAAATAAGGTATTTTAGGACTGATTTTTTTCAATTTTCTGCATTTTTTGACCAAATCGTTCAACTTCTATCAAAATCTAGGGAAACACTTGACAATTTTGTGTTTTTCTGCAATATTTTAGCCATTTTCTCTTGTTAAAACACTTTAAATGAATCAAAACAAGTGAAAAAATAAAGTCTTTTAGATCCAGGTTTAGGATTTTCAGTCTGTTTTCGCCAAAATTAACCAAAATGAAAGTAACAAGCGAAAAAACACCACTTTTTTGCGATTTTATGTTTTCTTTCGCCGAAATCATTTAAATATAAATTAATAATTACTTATAATAAGATTTTTTGTGAAAACATAATTATTTTCTGCATTATTTTTGCCAAATTTTTTGATAGTTTCCCCGTAAAAAGTTTTTCATAGATACGACATTAAATGCATTCGGAGTGACTTGCAACAGAATTACGTACAACTTGAACGTAAAAAATGACCTTAGATATCGCTTTGATTAAATGTTTTGTTTACACAGTGCAAATTCAATGAAAAGTATCAATAAAACAATTTCACAAATTTGTGCACAAAAATAATCAACAATTATAAGACAAAGGAAACAATTGTTAAATCAAATTTTTTATTTCATCTCAGTTTTTAACAAAACTTAAACCGGATTTGCTGGTATAAGATAAGATTTTGTTTTTGTAAAATTTTGAAATTTTTCGTAATCTGACCTGAAAATCTAAACATAAAATTTAAACTGTTTTTGGGCGAAAAACGTTGTGAAGCTAAAAAACAAAAGAAAATAACGCATTTTTGGTCTTATTTTACGATATTTTGCATTATTTTGACCAAAACCTTTAATTTTAATGTTGTTTTTTTTTTTAAGAAAATCGTTGTAAGTCTTAGAAGCAAGCGATAATAAAGCTTATTGAATTTAGTGTGTTTTTCTCGGCAATTTTGACATTTTGGGCTTGATTTTTTCAATTTTCTGCATTATTTTGACCAAATTATTCAAATTTTGTTAGTTGAAGTTGAAAATTATGAACTTGTTTGCAATATTTTGGCCTAATCTTTTGCATTACATGTTGAAAAATACTTTTAATAGGGCAAAACAAGCCAAAAATAACACTTTTTAGATCCAGTTTTGCGATTTTCTGTTTTCTTTCGCCAAAAAAGTGTTTTTAAAAAATCATCCAAAACCCAGAGAAATTGACGTAAATGATATAGGTATTTTGTGACAATTTTTTTTATTTAAAATTATTTTTTGCATTATCTTTGACAAATTTTGTGAATTTAATGAGATTTTCGGTGAAAAACGCTCTAAATTTAGCGAAACAGATGAAAATGATGCATAGTGGACCTAATTTTTAGTCATATTCTGTCTTGTTTTAACCAAATCTCTGTTTCTCAATTTAAAAACATGCCCAACATTGCAAAAATATTGTGTTTTGATCAAATTTTGCGATTTTTTCTTTTGATTTTCTGCACTATTTTGGACAAATATTTTTCCATTTTGTTAGTTTTTCGGTAAAAAAGGCTCGAAAACTGGAAAAAAACAGCCGAAAATAAGGCATTTTAGGCCTGATTTTTTCAATTTTCTGCATTTTTTAACCAAATCGTTCAAATTTTGTTAACTTCTCTTAAAATCTAGAGAAACAGATGACAATGTTGTGTTTTTATGCAATATTTTAGCCAAATTTTTTGATTTTACTGTACTTCTTGTTAAAGCACTTTGATTGGATCAAAACAAGCGAAAAAATAACGATTTTTAGATCCAGGTTTGGGATTTTCTGTCTTTTTTCGCCAAAATTATGCAAAATGAAACTAACAAGCGAAAAAATAACACTTTTTAGCTACAATTTCGCCATTTTGTTTTCTTTCGCCGAAATCAAAATTTAAATTGATAATTATCACTTGTAATAATTTTTTTTGTGAAAACCGTCCAAAACCTAGAGAAACAGAGGAACATGACCAAATTTTCTTATTTTCTGCATTATTTTTGACAAATTTTTTGAATTTATTGATAGTTTTTCCGTAAAAAAGTTTTTCATACTCGTAGATTCGTGCACAAACTGTATGCTTAAAAAATAATCAAAGGAAACAATTATGCAATCAAATTTTTTATTTCATCTCATTTACAAAAGTTTTTAACAAAACTTAAACCGGATTTGCTGGTATAAGAAGATCAATAAGCGCAATAACCACATTTCTTATCCGCGTTATAAGCAAACTTCCAATAATAGGAGTAAGCGAATTTAAAACAGAATCAACAAGAGTTTTAGTCAATTCATTTACTGGAGTAAGAATCGAAGCCAACAATTCAAGTATTGGCCTCATGATGACATCCAAACCACCTTCTTCATCAGTGACTGCAAGTGGTTCCCCCACTTCGCGCCTCCTTCGAGACACTACTTCCGTTCCATTAACCGGTGGAATAATAATAATTTGATCCAAATTTTTTTGGACAACAGTTATAATTTCTAAAGCCCGTTTCACAAGCGTATTGACAACATACGTCAAAACAGCATTCAAATCATCAGCTGGGGGCGTCGCCACATACAAACCCTGTAAAGTGGCCTTAACTTCTTCAAGGAGTCCATTAACAAGACTCACAATTTGGCCACGAAGTGTATTACCCAAAATATCGGTTATTATCGCCCCCAAATCAAAATCACGTGCTTGAACATCACGTTTACTGCGACTTGTCCTTTCTAACAATTCTTGGATTTTGCCCAATGGGACGGCAATGGGCTCATCTGATGGGACAGTTGCGTACAACTCATCGAAACGTTTTTCAAGGATTTTGACCAAGAATGGGTTTTTGGAGAATTTCTCCCGGATTGTTGCTTTAATTCCGTCTGTTATCAAGTTTCGTAATTCTTCTTGTTTGACTCGGATTAAATCACCGTCAACTGTGAGAAGATCGGTTTTAATTTCCTCGTTAATACCATTAACAGCCTCCTCAATGTTTCCATCAGCTGAGAGGAGTCTCTCAAGGATTTGGTTCGGTGAAGTCCCTCGACTTTGCAAAACTGCAGTCAAAATATTTGGGTTGTTTAGTAGTGAATTGCCGGCTGAGGGACGATCTACATGTCTAGCAGCAATACCAGAAAAAAAAACCTAGAGAAAGTCTCAAAAAAAGTTGATTAAACGATAAATTTACTTACTGTGAAGGTGGCAAAAAGCACAAGGGTGTGATTTTTCAAACCCATCTTGCTATTTTGTGAATAATAAAACACTTTGCGTTTGTTTTATATGTTTTAATGCAAATAAAGGGATTTAAGTAATTTCTCGAAATTTTATAACAGATTTGCGTACTTACCTGACAAAATTCATATTCATTAATTAAATATTTGCAATGGTTTTAAACTAATAAAAAGATTACAATTACCTCTTGTGGTGTTAGTTTGGCTAATGTTGTTCTGCTCTCCCTGGAAGAGTGGAATCTTTTGCAGTCGTAGAGTCTTACTCGAGGCTCTACGTAATTTCTAAACCTCAAAGAACTAGTCGAATAGTTGAATTTCTTCGAAATTGTCACAGTTTTTCCCGTTTTGAACAATTGTTGAGTACGACAAGCCACAACCATTTTGGCGTCTCGGTGGGGTTTCTGGATCACTCAAGTTACGACTTCACACTCCAAATTAACATTTTTCTTTAAATATTTCTATTTTTGTATTTTAACGTGCGACATTTTCCACTGAGGTTGAAGGTTATGTTATGACATTTGGAGGTTAGTTACTTTTTTTGACAGACCATGAAAGTACTAAAGGCACGTTTACACAAACACCAATTAGAAACAAACTTTATTTATTTATTAATAATAGATAAAGACAAGTCGCGTCAACATATAGATAAGTGTGTAAAGACCAGTTCCGGTTTTTATAGGGGGTATTCCAGAGTTAAAAATGTTTCAGATGTGCATCAAGTAGGTTGTAGAAATCTAAATCATCTCATTTAAAGACCGATTCACACAAAAAGTGTCATTAATGTCATTTAGAACAAATTTAATCACATTAATAATTATGTTTTAAATTTTAATTATTTTGTGCTACATGGGGTACACATTTATTTGAAAAAATAATTTGTAAGGTTAGAATTGTTTGAATTTTGCATGGTTGCCACCTTAAAATGATCCCTTTCAACGACTACTTCGATGCACATTAATCCGAAAACGAGTATACAGGATGTTCCGTTTTTATTGTTACAAATTTGGACAATAAAACAATATTCAATTTTAAGACAAAAGTTTCCTATAACTATGTATCAAAAAATGTTTTGTAAAGGAGTGTATCAAAAAAAACGTAAAAGAACTCTTTTTTGTGAAAAACTATGGAATTTAAAATTTTGTTGCTGAAAGTGGCAAGAAACTTCAGGAAAAATAGTTAGAGTTTTTTTAATTCCAAAAATATTCCAAACAATATACCATTTTTAACTTAATTTGCTAATTTTTTGGCCCATTTGGGTGAAATTTTACTTAAAAAAGGCAAAACTAATTTCGTTTTCGACCCCTAATTTGGGTATTTTAGCAAAATTTTGTGAAAAAAATTAGTTTTGGCTCAAAAACGTTTTTATTCGCTTGAAAATAAATGGAATTAATACAATTTTTTGCCTAATTAATTTTTGGGCATTGAGATTTTTACTCAAAAATAAGCAAAAAACACCATTTTGTATTTAATTAGGAGATTTCTCGGCTTACTTGAGCAAAATGTCGCAAAGGAAAACTGAAAAAGTCAAAAAGAATGTTATTTCCGACCAAATTTGAGCATTTTTTGCTCAAAAACACGTTAAACGTTTTAAAAGGTGGTTTTTTGCTTGTGAATATTTTTTTTCGAGAAAAAGTAGGTATTTAGTCACCAAAATAAATCCAGTAAAACAAACTAAAAGAGAACGGTAATTTGAATCTAGTTTAGTGATTTTAGCAAACTTTTGCGAAAAAAAAGTTTTTAGCTGAAAAACATTGTTTCACTCTCGAAAATGTCAAAAATAGCATAATTTTCGATCTAATTTGGTAATTTTTGGTCTGTTTTAACGAAAAAAACACAGTTTATTTGCTTAAAAAAGCAAAAATAGCAGAATTTTTATCGACTTTTCGACCGGTTTGGACAAAATTTTTGCAAAATAATTGCATTTCTGGCCGAAGAACTTTCTTTAACACTTGAGAAAGTGAAAAATAACATAATTTTCGATTTCATTTCGTGATTTTTTATCTTGTCTCGATGAAGTCTTATTCAAAATTTGAGTATTTATCATGCAAAAATGTTCAAAAAAGCAAAAATTGTTTGATTTCGACCAAGTTTGACCATTGTTTTTTCGGTAAAAAACACAACAAAACAAGTGTATCATGAATATTAAAAAGATTTTACTCAAAAAGGGTAAGTTGTATCGAAAAAACGTACTTTTTTTTTACTTTTTATCCCAAACGCCCCTAGTTAAAAATTTCGACATAAAGGTAATCAACTGTACCAAATTTTGTAATTTTATCTAAAATTGTTTCTGAAATATTGGACAAAATCCATAGTATTTTTCAATACATGTTCATAGGAAACTTTTATCTTAAAATTCAATATTCTATCACCTGTTTAAATTTGTTACAATAAAAATGGAACATTCTGCGTATATGGTATCTGAAATGGTATTTACATATCTACTGAAATACAAAGTGCCTTAAAAAACCATCTGTATCATATTTACAAAACCACTTTTGTACTACTCCACATGCAAACAAACATAAATTAGTCAATAATAATGTATTTTAATCCAAAATAACGAAGCTGATTTTAAGTAATAAGAGAAAAAAACGCATTCATTGCACAATTCCTTGAAGTCTTCCCGTTAACACCTTTTCCAAGTGACTCCCATCCCAGTAAACTTTCCCGCAAACTTCACAAACATAAAAAACATCGGTTTTTTCTAAAACACTATTTGGTATCATCCCCACTTGTATTTTCGCCCCACGTTGCGTTTGACACAAACCAACATCGAGCTTTTCATCCGAATCTAAAACAACAATGACAAAAACACAATAATTACAAGTCGAATTCCTACAAAGGTCCCATTTCCGTGTTGTTTGTACTGGTGGTCCGGGTTCAAAATCAAAATCATCATCACTTGAAAAACCAGTTGCTTCCTCTATGTCATGATCATAGTCAGGGGGGACATATCGTAGGGAATTTTGCGATTCTGTCAAGGCCAACATAGTCGAGCGTGAGACTTTAATGAAACTTCGGCCATTGCATGACTAAAAAATTTTTAATCAAAGAATTTTATGTTGCAAAATGATTGACATCTCGGTAGGGCATGGAAATTCAAATTTAAGGTGGCAACATTTGTCGTGACATACGCGATCTAGTAACTTTTTTACTCTCAACGCCAACCGAGATGTCAATTATTACGAAACGTTCTACAGGGTGTTACGTCTAAACCCCACATTAGAAGTATTGGGAGTTGGATTAATTGTATTTATTTGAAAATTGATACATAGCCATAAACTATTAAGTCCTCCTAAATGAAAATATTTTCAAGATGGCGGCACTTCCGCTTATACCGGAAGTCAGTCTCAACTTTCTTATTTTAAATGGAAAGATATATTTTTTACTGCGTTTTTGGATTAATCGGGTTATTTTAAGGGAGTTTTCACCAGCTTTCCCTATACCTAAATTTAGCCGTTTTTGAAATATTTGGAGTTTTTCAAAAAAATTTGGATCTGCACCTTCCACTTTAAAAATTGGTAACTCTGCCATTTTTTAAGATTGTGAATTCGTTTTTTTGGCGTTTGAAAGAGAAAACTTAGATTTTTCTTACGGTGTATTCAAATTAAAAAAAATAACAAACCCTAAAATTTTAAGGTTACTTTTGTAATAATTCAAATACCCATAACTCAATTTTTCCAAATGAAATACCCCAATTTTTATTTTACTAAATGGAAGAGAATTTAATTCTGCATCGATCTATATTAACATTCCCTATACCTAAATTTAATAATTTTAAGTTATGGTGACTTTTTGTTAAGACTGCCGAAAATCTGTTACTAGTCATATAGTTTGCTGTGGAAATCAAAAATGTCAAAATTGTTGTTGATATATTTTTTACTGCGTTTTTGGATAATCGGGTTATTTTAAGGGAGTTTTCATCAGCTTTCCCTATACCTAAATTTAGCCGTTTTTGAAATATTTGGAGTTTTTCAAAAAATTTTGGATCTGCACCTTCCACTTTAAAAATTGGTAACTCTGCCATTTTTTAAGATTTTGAATTCGTTTTTTTTTGGTTTGAAAGAGAAAGCTTAGATCCTTTTTCTGGTGTTTTCAAATTTTGAAAAAACATATCCCAAAATTTTAAGGTTACTTTTGTAATAATTCAAATACTCATAACTCAATTTTTTCAAATGAAATACCCCAATTTTTATTTTACTAAATAGAAGAGAATTGAGAAATTGTGCATTGATCTGTATTAACATTCCCTATACCTATAAATTTAATAATTTTCAAGTTATGGACTTTTTTTTAAGACTACAGAAAATTTATTACTAGCCACGCCCGTTTTCACATAGTTTGCTATGGAAGTCAAAGATGTCAAAATTTTCTCTAAACAAACGTCAACAGTAAATTACTATTTGACAAATATTGCCCAAATATGAAAAGTTATGCAAACTTAATTATTATTAATAGGTTCTACCATGCGATCATTATTAAAGTTAACAAGTGAGAAAAATTTATTATACCTTAAAACGTGATAGCTTGAACGCTCTCACACCCGTGTAAAACGTTAAGAGATTGAGTGAAAATAAAAAACAAAAATTCAATCATAATTCTACAAAGTGGTAAAGTTTCACAGAGAAAAAAGGTCTAAAAGTGCCTAAATTAACGTTTTAAATAAATCACTAAGAGTGCGTTGGATTTCAATCATTCAATCTGACACTTCTGACAAGGTCGCTCACACTCTTCAAAGAAATCAAAGGAAATTTTTTTAGAGTCACATTAAGCTTTAATCTGCATTTTTTTTGGAACCCACTAAGAAAAAAATTGACGAAAGAGTCCCTTATCTAACATTAATTTTTCGTCTCTAATTGGAAAAATTAACTTAAATCATTATTTTTGCGTCTTTTTCAAAACAAATATAAATTGAATTAAAATAGTTTTTTTATGGCCAATCGGTGAGGTTTTTGCAAAATCTTGAATTTGATTGGTTGGACACATTTGTTAATTTATTGGTGAGTTACAAGGACCAATAACAATCACTTCCCATTCCCGTAATTACCACTAAGGTGAGAACAAACCGGTTTTTATTTCTTATTGGCCCAAATCCGACAAAAACCTAGCAACGATAAGTAACTCCACCCATTTAAAAAAATCGTGAATAATTATTGATTTTTGAATCGAATTTTTATAACAAATCAGCGTTTAGTGTGAGTTATCTTACTTTAATTGGATCTAAATTTGCACAATGGGTGGAGCCAACCCCAGAGCCAATATGAATCATGCACTTTCGATTATTACACCAATAAAAAGTAAAAAATTATTTAATGCGTTAAAGTTGAGTGTCATTGTTCAATTCTTACCCAATCAATTACGTCTTTTAAAATCAACCAATCAGAACACGTCTTAGATTTGTCGACAAGAAAAATAAAAATAATTAAAATTTTTGTTTTAAAAATCGGCTTCTCCGATTTTATAGTTAAGAAAATAAATATTATTTGAAGAATAAACGTTAATTAATTTTCTTTACTGTCAAATGTCCAAACTGTGAAATTTTGACATTTTTGGAAGATTTACATAACACTGTGAATTAAGTTAATTTATTGTGTACTAAAATTTGTATTTTGCTCTATTTTTGATTCAAAAATACCGATTCGAGTCGTTTTTAGCGGTTTTACATCTTTCAAAAAAAATATAAATCTTCAAAAAAAATCTCAAATGTTCAAAGTGCGCATAATTCGACAGATTGGTTCTTTATGTACAATCAGTGCAAAATTTAGAACAATTTGAACCACATCAGGGCCGTAATAAACAATTTTCTGATTCAAAATAATCCAAACACTCTTAAACCAAGCAAATCTGGTCCATCGCCTAAAATTAATTAAGCGTGTCTCAAAAGTAAGTTATAATATAAATTTTTGTTTAATAAACGACATAATTTTGTTACACTCTCCATAAATACAAAATAAATTAATTAAATCTAAGTTTGAGTAGCTTTGACTCTCCATATTTTGGCACTATTTGTGAAATAATAAGTCACTGTCGACGTTTATTGAGAAACAATTTTGACATTTTTGATTTCCATAGCAAACTATACGAAAACGTAATAGATTTTCGACAGTCTTAACAAAAAGTCACCATAACTTAAAAATTATTAAATTTAGGTATAGGAAATGTTAATACACATCGATGCAGAATTAAATACTTTTCCATTTAGTAAAACAAAAATTGGGGTATTTCATTTGGAAAAATTGAGTTATGGGTATTTGAATTATTACAAAAGTAACCTTAAAATTTTAGGGTTTGTTATTTTTTTTTAATTTGAAAACACCGTAAGAAAAATCTAAGTTTTCTCTTTCAAACGCCAAAAAAACAATCTTAAAAAATGGCAGAGTTACCGACTTTTAAAGTGGAAGATGCAGATCCAAAATTTTTTGAAAAACTCAAATATTTCAAAAACGGCTAAATTTAGGTATAGGGAAAGCTGATGAAAACTCCCTTAAAATAACCCGATTAATCCAAAACGCAGTACAAAATATACCTTTCCATTTAAAATAAGAAAGTTGAGACCAACTTCCGGTATAACCGGAAGTGTCGCCATCTTGAAAATATTTTCATTTAGGAGGACTTAATGCATTATGGCTATTTACCAATTTTCAAACAAATATGATTATTCCAACTCCCAATACTTTTAATGTGGAGTTTAGACGGAACACCCTGTATACCTGACACACGCTGAACACGTCATTTACTGTCACATTAACTTTAAAATAATCAACGAATTGTTTGAGCTGTTCGTCGACATTATCACTGATAATTCGAAGACAATGTCCGAGTGGCACATATCCATACAACTAAAAAAATAATTTAAAATTGTGTTTTTCAAAATCTAAACCCTACTTTATTAAAAACATTTCCACGTGTCAAAATAAATCGTTGTTCATCTTGAGCATATCTAACACACTCCATATGGTCCATATCATTTTCAAGAATGGCAGTATCAATTCCACATCTTCGAAGATTCTTACCTAAACCTTGTAACATTGTATCACAGACAACTTTAATCGATGCAGCTGGCACTTGATTCGAATGAGGAGATGGGGGTTGTGCTATCTCTTCATCTTGGGGAGGCTTTGACTGAAAAATTATAACAATTAAGTGTTTGAATCAATTGAAAATACCTTTTTTTGGACCGGTTTTTTGGCCTTCTTCTTCGGCCCTTTCTCATTCGTCATGAGATTATAACACGTCTCGTCGAAGGGAAATTCGGCTTTTTCGCAACAACTCCTGATAACATCATAGACTTCAATGAGACAAAAAGCATCAAGTGCGGCATAAACAAGCTGACTATTTCTTAAAGGGCGTTTTTCCCAATTCGAGAATTGATCAGACTTGTCCAAAGGACGGCCCAAACATTGATTCACTAAAGTACCCAAACTGGGACCACTACCTTGTACTAAAATTGATTTAATTAAAAAAAATTGCACACAAAAATTGTACTACCTTCATATGGCAAAACTACTTTCGGGTATTTTTCAAGTAGCTTCCACAGTGATAACAAATCTAAAAACCCAACTTGTTTTGGGGTAAAATTAAGTTCAGGTAAAGAATGTTTAATCATTAAGATATCACTAGTGAACCCAAAGCCTAGTTTTAAAATATCACAATTATTAAAAAGGAATTTGCCGAGTTCTTGCCATAAATGTGGCACTTTGGTTCCTATACTGATTATATCAAGAATGAACACGTTTTTTCTAGATGCTATTTGCATTAAAGCTAACTCGTTTTTTTGACTACCAAAATTTGGTTTCCATTCACAATCAATTCCCACAATTTCCACGTCCTACAAACACATTTTCAGTAATAAAACAACACAAAAAACACGTTACTTGTAGCCCACTATCCAGAAATCTCTCAAAAGAATCTTCAGAATCAATCAAATGAATACTAGTGAAAGGTAAAGAAAATTTATGATACTCGACAAGTTCATCATTAGTCCAAGACTCCTCCTCAGGTAAAATATTTCTTTGATGCAACCTAAACAAGAGTCAAATACACAATTTTTACTTTGCTAGTAAAACACACCTTTCTTCGTCTGGATTTTCCTCAAGCATTCTAACATTATAAGGCCAATATTGTTTATCAATATTGTAAAAGTGTGCCCACCATAGAGCCTCAGAAATAGCCCCAAATGTGCAAACTTGAACCACAAGCTCTCTTTGTAATTCTTCATCTTCTCCAATAGCCTCTTGAACCATTTCTTTCCAACTTTCATCACCTACAATCACTTTTTTACCTCATCTGGTACAAAATACAAATTTACCAAACGAATTTTCGATAAATCTCTTGTGCAATAAAAACTGTAAAGCCCCCTCATTTCGTCGTTTATTCAAATTTGGAGTAATGTTTGACGGGAGTTTAAACGTTTTCACAAGTCTTGTTATAAACTTTTTCAAGGGTTTTGCATGCAATTTATCCCATTTGATATCAGGAACGTCTAAATTGCTAAAAATTGATTAATTTCACGTACAAAATTGTGATCAACTTACAACACATATGACGCTAAGGCATCCCTAACTGATGTTCTACCTAACGTAGAGTCCAAAAGTGTGACTAATTCGACTTGATGTCGAGGACTAACTGTTAAAAATTCGTCAATTCCGTACAATTTATCTTGCAAAATGAGAGGAAGCAAAAAATCTTCAACTGAAAATTTATCTTGTAAATTGAACAACACAGCACTTTGGCAAGCCTAAAATTGATCAAATGAAGAGTAACAAAAGTATAAACATTGTTAAATTGTTAAAACCTCTTTGTACTTTTTTCTCTCAATCATGCACTTGATTATGTCCACGAAAATTGCCCCATCTTGAGCCATTTCGTAAACATCGACCACAAGTCTTGTCAAGTTTTGTGCATTTTGCTTTGTGATTATTTTAAATACGTCGATTTTCAACTTAGGTGTGAGAAAATGTACGACTTTGTTCCGATTTACACCCAACCAAGTTTTAAACTCTTCTATTATAAAAAATGGTAGAGACTTGCTCTTTGCACTGTTAAATTCCTGACAATTGTACATAATTCTTATAGTTTGTTCGTAGGGATTTTCACAGAGATGAAAGTACTGATGTAGCTTGTTTACAACAGGTGGACTCTTCTTCACTACAATTAATTAGAAATTACTTGATTTTATGGTGTCTTCAGGGACAACTTACACATGTTCCACATGTTTTTCAGCTCATTTAGGAAACTGCCACTGTCGATATCTAACTCTAAAACGATGCTTATTCCATTGCAACAATTATTGTCATGTGATATGCTCTGGTTTGTATTCAAACGTGGGTTTTGGGGACTCCTCATGTTTGTGACAGGTGGGTTGGTTTTCGCACCACGGGAATAACCTCTGCCTCGACCTCTCCCCCTATAGGCGTTCATTCTTTTACTAAAACATTTTTATTAATCTTGTTGACTAAACTAGGAATTTTTGAAAAATTATTAAACATAACCTCGACATACCTGTCAACGTCAAATGTCACAATAAAACGCCCAGAGGTAAGGTGATTACTGATTAGACAAGCGATAAATTAAGTACAAAATAGCACGTATTTTAATTTAATCCACTTTTGTGTTTAAAATGAATAAAATTTATACTACTACAATTGTGTCAATATTCCCGATCAAACAGGAAATTTTTCGAATTTTTGCTTTTAGGGAGTTTGAGTCAGTTTTGTTGTCGTCACCAAACCTCCACAGGTTACTGTAAAATGATTTGCGACTTGGCTAATTAAAATACTACAAAATAGCACAATATTAATTTAATCCACTTTTGCAATTAAAATGAATAAAATTTATACTACTACAAACATGTCAATATTCCCGATCAAACAGGAAATATTTCGAATTTTTGGGTCAGCTTTGTTGTCACCAAACCATTACAGGTTACTGTAAAATGATTTGCGACTTGGCTAATAAAACAAACTAAATTGAATAATTTTAATGAAAACTACAGTATTGAGGTTTTCCTCAATTCAATGATTTGTTCGGGAGGTAAACACTTTTCCAACGTGTCCAAAAGATTCTCTTCAATTATTTTGAGGTGTTGAATTCTTAATTCTAAGTTTGCAGCTCTTGTTCTTAATTTATTTAATTCCTCAAATTCAGATAGATGTCTGCAAAAATAGAATAATTACAGATTTTTGGTATTATTAACTACTTACGTGTTCACACCTACGTCTTTAGTCAAATTTGTGACTGTTTCTTCATTTTTACTGTAAAATATAGCAGTTAAATTTTTGATCAAATGTAGCCAACTTAATTTCAAAGCTCAGAAATGAATTTACCTTGTCGATGGAGGAGTCTTTATGTAAATATTCACTACTTTTATTTGTTTTTTATCTCCTCGTTTTTTGGTAATTTTTGTCTTGGGCCCTATTTGTAATGGGTCTTCAAAAATTGATGGTACCGTACCATTTTTGAGAGCTTTTTGGCCCCACTGACAAATGTAATCTGATTGATGGAAGTGTTTTGAACAAAGTTTTGAATAAATACTAGGAACGAAATTAAGTCTTCCAAGGGCCCTAATCCACTGTTCTCTTAAGATGGGATCTTTAGGGAACCTGTAAATGTTATTATTTTGATTGATTACAAAAATAATTATGACTATTATTCTTACGCATGAAACGAAAGACCTCCTTTTGTTGACCTTTGTTTACAATTATATGCACAACAGGTGAGCACCATTTTGATACTTTTTAAAGATATAATTTCACATTTTGTCTATTTTTAATCTTAAAGTAGATTAAGGTATATTGAAGTGACAGATGACTGGATGTGTTCCACTTCTTGCCCTACGTCATGTGATCACCTATTGCGTTCTCTCTCGCACAATGCTTATAAAGGTCTATTCACATTATACGGAACGACAACGTCCTTACGTTAGCTTCAATTCAAATTATTTTGCATCAAAAAATGTGCTTTAAAAATTACGTTTCTTGGAAACAAAATTGACCTGTTTCGAGTTTTTTAAAAAGTTGTTTTAGTTTCTGAGATATTTGGAGTAGCTTGTTTTCATTTGGTTATTGGGTCAAGTTTAAAAAATTACGAATTTTTTGAGTTTTTCAAGGTGAGCTAGTAAAATCGTAAAAATAGTCAATTTCCTAAAAGTCGTAAAAACGCTTGAAATATGGTTTTCTAGACGTAAAATTACGCGCTGAACACGATGCAACTAGTTCAAATACTCTACGATGCATAGTTTTTGAGATATTGAGTAATAAAGTCGGTAGAAATACCCGATTTTGACAAAAAAAATCAAAATTTTTTTAAATTCTTATGAAAAACTAGTAGCGTAAGAAAATCTATCGACTGAGGTCAAAGCCAAGTCGATATCTCGCAAAAAAAATTTGAATTTTTAAATGCCGATTACGGCGAAACTAAAGGAGATAGCGCAAAATAATTGTGAAATTCGTAATTAGCGCCTCAAAACCTATCGGATAAGATAGGTTTAAATCGAATCTGAGACATGTTCAAAAACACTAGATTTTAAGGGGGTGGTGTTAACAAATTTTTACTTTTTCTTGTTTTGTAAATTGCGGCAAAACTGTGCCTCAATGATATAATACTTTGACCTAAACCTATGTAAAATGTTCCGGGGAATCGATTGGCGTCAATTAAACTGCAAAATTCGTAGTAGTTTTGAAGTTATAGTCGGATTTAAATTCTCGATATTTTTGACTTTATCAGAAATTTTCTCGATAACTATTTATCGTAGAACACTGATTTTTTTTTATATGATAGAAAATTAAATTTGCTTTCCAACGGTACCAAACATAAGAGGTTATAAGTCCCACTTTCTACCATCGAGTTTTAGGACCCTTATAGTTTTATTTAGAATCAAAATTAACACTTACTGGTAGTTTTCGGGCCAAAATTTCAAAAATTTTGCAATTTTTGTAACTTTAGAGTTTTTCTAACCCTATAATATTAATTAACAATATTGAGAAAAATCACGACAATCAAATGGTAAACAGTCGACACCAAAAAAAAAAAATGTTCTGACATAAATTAACCTAATATCTCGGTAGTGTACTAAATTTATGGGGCTCCCTTGTGCATTCATAACCCTACTATATGACATAAAACAAGTTGCATTGTAATAAAAACATTTTAGAGGTGGGTTTTTCAAACTAAAGATAACCCTATTGTGTCACCCCTCATACATCTCAGCTAAAAACATAGATTTTAAAAATATAAAATGAGGTAGGTATTTTGTTTTTCCTAAGCGAGATACGAAAATGACCATCGTCAAAATCAAATTTGACTGAACGGTTCGATAGAACGTTTTATTGCGCATCTTTTTTGGCATAGTCAATTTTTACGTACGATGCATACTTTTCGAGATATTCACGTTAGAAATTTCCAGATTTGAATTTGCGCGCTTCATTGCAATTTGTTAAAGTTGGTAATAGTCGGCAACCGTGTACACACGCGTGTATTTGTAGTTGCATAAGTTTTGGGGTTTGTAATAACACAAAATTTCATAATCATTCATCTTATTATGTATAAAAACTTCACAGCAGTACAATACATACAATAAATAATAAGTAATACATAATGTAATAATCAGGCATATAGAAATATTTGTGATCGATTAATAATTGTACCCAGTTTGGGGATTAAACGGTTGTGTGATCCCTCTCCCTCCTCCACCTCCCCCTCCTGGCCGATACTGGCCCTCATCTCCCCCAAATCCCCCACCACGGGCTTCCTCAGCCCTGTTTTGCTCCAAAGACCTAAACAAATACTAAATTAAGAAATAAAAATCAAACCAACTTGCCTTAAAATAGCTTCTGGAATGGGTGGTGGCGTTGGTAGATGGGCCCCCACAGGTCTGAACCCATTCTCATCTGCCACATACTGAATTGAGTACCTTTGCCCATCTGGGCCTGTGTACGAAAATGACCCTTCAGCACTCTCGGCCTCATTCGTAGATCCTGCGTTCTTCAAATGCCCCCTTTCTTCGGCCTGGATCCCATTTCCGGTCTCATAAGCGTAGTAATAATTACCACTTCCATCATTGTCATTGACATATTTCAAAATTGGGATTTGGGCGCCGCCTCCACCTCCAAATCCGCCGCCTCCGCCTCCGCCACCTCCAAAGCTGGGTCTGCCACCGCCGCCGCCGCCGCCCCCCCTGGGAGGGAGGTAGGTCGTGTCCAAACGGGCACTAAGGGCCACTCCGATCACGGATGTTAATACCACCTAAAAATCGGTTAAAAAGTTGGACTCTAGGGTGGAATAACTTACTAATTTCATGTCGTGTTGTGTTCTAATGCAAAAGCAATTGTGTTACAATTATTTATAGAGGAGTGCACTTGAAGTTTAGTGCCCCTCCAGCCGAAGATGAGCCTCGGCATTTCATCTGTAATCCAGATCATCAGCCCATAACTTACAAGGTTGCTGAATGCACATTTTTCACTATATCATTTTTAACACACCTTAAAAGGCGTCGGTGGTATGAAAGAAATACTTCTTGCATAACGTCCACCAGTACCCTCATGATGGTAATAACAATTTATGGATTTTAATGTGTACGAAATGCAAATAAGAGTGTGCAATCTCAACATTTTCTTGCGGAAATGAGATGTTTTTTTCTACATTTAAATGATTTATTTCTGTTTTGCAAAAAATTGTATTATTTTTTGCATTTTTGTATACAAAGTTTTTCGAAAATTGGGTAAAAATTTAAGAAATTGGATTGAAATTGGTGTCTCTTAATTTAGCTTGTTTTAAACCAGAGTCAAAGCAGGCTTAAAAATTCCAAAAATTAAAGTGATTTAGTTTGTTTTATTCGACTTACTTTGTTTTTGAATGAAATTTTGTGAAAAAATGAGCCAAAAAACACAAAATTCGGGCGAAAATAGTGTGTTACTTTACCCTTTTTAAGTCTTTATGCACATTTTTTAAATTTTTTGCAAGATTTTTCTTAAACAAACCAAAAAAACACAAAATGAATTTTTTTTTCAAAATTTTGTTAAAAAAAGCCAAAAACCTATCGTATTAGACCAAACAGTGTTATTTTTGCTTCTTTCGAAGAGTTTAGAACGTTTTTTAAGTCAGAAGCTGGAGTATCTTGAAAAATTTCGTACAAACAAACCGAAAATTTACCAAATTATTTGCGAGATTTTGCTAAAACAAATTAAAAAAATAAGAAACCAAGTCATTATTTTTGCGTTTTGGGTGTTTTAGCATGTTTTTCAGGTAAAAACGCAAAACTTCATTAAAAACAAACCAAAAAATTATGGAATTAGACCAAAAATTGTGTTATTGTTGCTTTTTTCAAAGAGTTTAGAATGTTTTTGAGTCAGAAGGAGAACTATTTTGAAAAATTTCGATAAAAAATTGTGTTATTTTTGAATTTGTAATGTTCAAGATGTTTTTGGAAAATTAAGCTAAAATTAAGTAAAAATGTAATAAATTTGATTAAAATTACTATTATTAATCGTTTAGTTCGTTTTTGAACCAGGAACATTTATTTGCAAGATCTTGTCAAAACAAAGCTAAAAATAGCAGAAACAAATCTAAATTTAGGTTATTTCGTTTGTTTTATTCGATTTATCGCGTTTTTTTGTAAAAGCTTAACAAAAAGTAAGTCAGAAAAGACAAAATTTGATCGAAAATAGCGTTACTGTACTCTTTTCAATTCTCTAAGCACATTTTTTAACAGAAGTCTTAGTTTTTTGCAAGATTTTACTAAAACAAACTAAAAAAAATAAGCAACCAAATCATTATTTTTGCGTTTAAGGTATTTTAGCATGTTTTTCAGGTACAAAACGTAAACATTTCATAAAAATTTCTTTAAAAACACATGGAATTAGACCAAAAATAGTGTTATTTTTGCTTTTTTCGAAGATTTTAGAACAGTTTTTGAGTGAGAAGCAGAACTATTTTGATAAATTTCGGTAAAAAATTGTGTTATTTTGAATTTGTAATGTTCAGGCAATAAGTTTTTTCAAAAAATTTTGCTAAAATTGTGTAAAAATTTAGTAAATTTGATTAAAACTGGTATTATTAATTTTAGTTTTAGTTTAGACTTATTTTTTTTAAAAAGTCAAAAAACAGAAAATTAGGTCGAAAACAGCGTTAATTTACTCTTTTCAAGTCTCTAAAGACATTTTTTAATAGAAGTTTTAGTTTTCTTGCGAGATTTTGCTCAAAGAAACTAAAAAAATGAGAAACCAAGTCATTATTTTTGCGTTTTAGGTATTTTAGCATGTTTTTCAGGTAAAAACGTAAACATGTCGCAAAATTTCATTAAAAACAAAGCAAAAAATTATAGAATTAGAGATTTATGAAAAAAATGCTTTTCTTACAGTTTTAGAAAAGTCCTATCTAGCAAAAATACGTGTAAATCTGGCAACTTTCTGAGCTCAGATCTAGTAAATATTTTTTTTTGACCAGACAACACCGAATTTATGTCAAAAAAATTAGTTGAAATTTTCGGAACCAAAGTTCAATAAKTTATTTTGAATTGTTCTAATTTTTTCTCTAGTTGTCAGAATAAAAATTACAAAACCAAAAGTAAGATTAGTTGCATAAAACCCGTTTTACATTTTTATGTCAATTGTAATTAAGATAATTCTAATAGGCAATGACGCGATTTTACTTTTCTTTAAAAAAAAATCGTGATGTTATAAATGATTCTTGCACAAGTAGAAACATAAATTTAAGTTATCTGACAATGTGCTCCTGGAGAATTTGCCCTCTCTCAAGATTGGATGTGTGGGAGTGTTAGTTGCATTCGCTGAAAAATTTTATGACATCGAAAATGAGCAATCACCGATGAATTTATGATTTTATTGCACGGTTAGCTTATAGTGATTGAATGTGACGTTTCACATTGCAGATAATTTACAACTTATTGTTTGCAAACCTGATTCTAACCGCACTGAAACGGATTTCAGAACATCAATAAAGCTGCCGAGAAGCGAGTTATTGAGATTTCAGGTTTTTGTTTTAAAAAACTTCCTGAAACAAGACTTTTTTCGCCCATAAAACCCCACTAAGTGAAAGGATTCATCTACGTTTGGGTATAAACATTCCTCGAATAATTAGAATGAGGGTGATTTAGTTTGTGTTTGAATGAAATTTTGTGAAAAAATGAGCCAAAAAACACTTTTCAAATTCTGTGCATGTTTTTTTCCAAAATTAAAAAAAAAAGTCAAAAACTTATTGTATTAGACCACAAATAGTGTTATTTTTGCTTTTTTCGAAGAGTTTAGAACGTTTTTTAAGTCAGAAGCAAAAGTATCTTGAAAAATTTTGTAAAAAATTTAACAAATTAGGTCATAAATTGTGTTATTTTTGAGTTTGTAATGTTCAAGCATGTTTTTGAAATAAGTTTTTTCGAAAAATTCCGCTAAAATTGGGTAAAAATTTAATAAATTTGATTAAAATTGTTATTATTAATTTTAGTTTATTTTTGAACCATAGACTTTTTATTTGCAAAATCTTGTCAAAACAAACCTAAAAATTGCAAAAACAAATCTCAATTTATGTTATTTCGTTTGTTTTATTTGATTTATCGTGTTTTTTTTTGTAAAAGTTTGGCAAAAAGTAAGTCAAAAACACAAAATTTGGTCGAAAATGGTCTTACTTTATTCTTTTCAAGTCTCTAAGCACATTTTTTAACAGAAGTCTTAGTTTTTTTGCGAGATTTTGCTAAAAGAAACTAAACAAATAAGAAACCAAGTCATTATTTTTGTGTTTTGGGTATTTTAGCATGTTTTTCAGGTAAAAACGTAAACATGTCGCAAAATTTCATTAAAAACAAACCAAAAAATTATAGAATTAGACCAAAAATAGTGTTATTTTTGCTTTTTTCGAACGTTTTTTGAGACAGAAGCAGAACTATTTTGATAAATTTCGGTAAAAATTGTGTTATTTTTGAATTTATAATGTTTAAGCATGTTTTTGGAATAAGTTTTTTCCAAATATTTCGCTAAAATTGAGTAAAAATTTGATTAAAATTGATATTATTACTTTTAATTAGTTTTTGAACCAGGAACTTTTTATTTGCAAGATTTTGTCAAAACAAAGCTAAAAATTGCAAAAACAAATATAAATTGATGTTATTTCGTTTGTTTTATTCGATTTATCGCGTTTTTTAGTAAAAGTTTGACAAAAAATAAGTCAAAAAACACAAATAGCATTACTTTACTCTTTTCAAGTCTCTAAACACATTTTTCAACAGAAGTCTTAGTTTTTTTGCGAGATTTTGCTCAAAGAAAATAAAAAAAAAAATAAAAAACCAAGTCATTATTTTTTCGTTTTAGGTATTTTAGCATGTTTTTTAGGTAAAAACGTAAACATGTCGCAAAATTTCATTAAAAACAAACCAAAAAATTAAAGAATTAGACCAAAAATAGTGTTATTTTTGCTTTTTTTCTACGTTTTTTGAGTCAGAAGCAGAACTGTTTTGAAAAATTTCGATGAAAAATTGTGTTATTTTTGAAGTACGTTTTTGGAACAAGTTTTTTCAAAAAATTTCGCTAAAATTGTGTAAAAATTTAATAAATTTGATTAAAATTACTATTATTAATTTTAGTTTGTTTTTGCACCATAGACTTTTTATTTGCAAAATCTTGTTAAAACAAACCTAAAAATTGCAAAAACAAATCTCAATTTATGTTATTTCGTTTGTTTTATTCTATTTATCGCGTTTTTTGCAGAAAATAAGACAAAAAACACAAAATTAGTTTGCAAACCTGATTCTAATCGCCCTGAAATGGGTTTCAGAACATTAATAAAGCTGCCGAGAAGCGAGTTATTGAGATTTCAGGTTTTTGTTTTAAAAAACTTCCTGAAACAATACTTTTTCGCCCATAAAACCCACTAAGTGAAAGGATTCATCTACATTTGGGTACAGACATTCCTCGAATAATTACTGTCCTCGACAATCACTCACCCATTGTCATAAATCTCACCGGAAGACTCCGGAGGAATTACCAAGGTTTTGAGCCTAATCCATGTTGCACTTTACGAATTTCAGTCAAAATATTGGGCAATCCTTGAATCCATTTCTGGTTATTACCTTTCTCTCACTCACACCAAAATGGATCTAAAGTAGGTTATTTTAGTACTTTCATTAGTTTAGTCGAGATCCTGGTGACGTGATGGGTTCGCAATCAAAATTTTACCTTCGATGGGTGTAACCTTTCGTTTCAAAACAAAGACTAATTCGATTCGCTGATGCTAGAAAGTGGTGGGTTTGAATAAATTCCCAGTAAATGATCGAGATGATGACCCATCCCTGTCATGAAAACGCCAATATTAAGTTCATAATATTTATTAGGTATAACTAGAATGATTAGATATAATTTAAATGTCAATAAGGAGTGCTAGAGAAATAAGTTTATTTCATTATGATTTTTGAGTTTATTTAGATCGAGGATGCTACTTA